TCTTCCGATGTGAAGAATTTAATGCTTCTCTCCCCTTTCTCTGTTGATATATGGGTGAAAAACCAAGCCAAACCACAACACTGTTTAAATATTTAAAAATGCCAGAGCAGCATTTGAAGCAGGCTAGACAGTCTTATTTAAGCCATTACAGATGAGAGACACACACAGGGACATCACTTACTTTAGGCATCTGTGGATGACTGAAATCTTTATCCACAATCACTCCTTTAACCAACTGTGTATCTTCCAGTCTACCTCCCACTTTGCCTTGTACTTTGATCAGCTCAAAATCAACATCCTTACGTTCCATATCTGCTACTGTCAGTACAGCATTTACAGCAATTTCTGCCATTTGTCTGTGGCAACGGTTAACTCTAGGCATAAAAAATACAATAAAGTTACATTGGATTTCCACCATTTGGAAGAAGAAAGTGATTCTATTGATCTCTAACAGAAAAAATTATCACTATAGCTAACAACTTTTGTATGCTCCACTAAAAGAGGGTGTCCTGTTGCTTGTTCGCAGAAATGGAAGATGCTAAATATGGCAGAAAACAGAACATGCAATATGGTTTCTCCAAGCTATCTCTGTGGACATAGTCTCAAAATACAGGTTTGAAACAAGCAAGGAGAATTAGCTACCAAGAAATATTCGAGCCACAGAAACCACTGTTAAGACAGCCCTGCAAAGGAAACCCTTACAATGTCTAAATGTATATACTACATACAAAACCTACAATGACAAATGTACTTATGGAACTATCCTACAATTTTTTTAAATGATAAAACCCAAAACAAAACAAAGCTTTGAAATATAACAGTTATTTTTAAATGGTTTGCATTAATCTTGGAATTTGCTATGATGCAGAAATTTGGAACAGGTTAGAAAGAAATTGACTTTGCAGTTATTTAACTCATGGAATTGGCCCTTTAGAGAAAAAGGATTGACAATTTCTTATCCTGAGACATGAATCCACTGAGAAATTAGCCAAAATCAAACATAAAAGAGCCTTCAGCAGCCACTCCAAAACCACAAACAATAACCCATGAAAACACCAGGATTTCTCCTTTCAACTCAAAGTGTTTTTAAGGGAAAATTAAATAGTCTTCTGAAGTTTTTCTGACTTACACTTTAGAGCCTAATGTTGTCTTTGCTGTCTGGATCAGAGGTTCAATGTTCTGAGGATCAACTGGAAAGCTGTCGCTGATTTTGTCTAGATGCTCAATAGCAATGCGGGCTGCTTGCTCATAACCGTCTGCTATTCTGATAGGGTGAATACCACGATCTAATAATTGCTCAGCCTGTTCCAATAATGCTCCAGCCAGAACTACAAAACAAAATTTTAAAATAACGTTTACTCTTCCACAGATCGTAACATCATTTTCACTACCTTATCAAAAGATCAAAAAGTATGCCTTCTGATTTTTTTCTCTGTAATATTTTAATCAGAATCATTCTGTGATTCTGTGAACAGTTCAAGCTTTCTTAAATGACAAAACAACCCTGAACAACCCCCTACTTACTATGCTTAGAAAGAAAACTGCATTACGTTAGACCAAACAGAAGCATGGGCAGCAAGGTGGGAATTATGGAAGAAAATTATGCAGAAAAATTTTGAAGGTACACAGAGGATTCTCAACACTAATCTAAAATGTAACGATACTCAAAAAAGACACAAAAGCATCTGATTAAAAAGACTTATAATACAAGAACACTGATGCAGTAAATACTCTAAAAACATGCTACAGAAAAGCTACTGTTACTTCACACAAAATTTCTTAAAATGGCTGAAGCCTGATTTTAAAGCTGGAAAAGCTAAGTTAAATTTAAAACCTTTTCTTACCAACGACTCCAGTAGTTCCATCCCCAATCTCATCATCTTGAGATTTAGACAGCTCCACCATAAGTTTGGCTATCTGGTGATCCACATCCATCATATTCAGGATGGTAGCACCATCATTTGTCACAGTCACCTCACCATCTTTGTCTACCATCATTTTATCCAAGCCTAAAAAAATACATTCAAAGCATGAAGGAAAATCTAGAAAATCCCCCAAAACAATTACTGAGAAAGAACCATTAAAATTATTTTATTATTACCATTAGGCCCAAGGGATGTTCTCAGAGTACTTGCTACAGCCTTCGCTGCCATTATGTGAGACTACAAAACAAAGGAGAAGCAAGTTAAAACACTATCACGCATCCCAAAACCGTAACATCAAGCTACGAAAAAATACAGGGGAAAAACCTAACACAAATATTGTAATTTAACTGACAACAACCAATTATGACTGGGGGGAGGTGGGGAATAAATATATGCATGTTGCTTTTATGCAACATTTCCCGTGCCTTTTCTTGCACGGCTTGCACTTGCACTTCGCTAAAGCATGCAAAAGCACAGCAGCTAAAATGACAGCCCCGAGGTTTAAAGCAGGGAAGCAACAGAAGCAAGTAACGCTACAAGGAGAAGCCAGTATAACTCTGCTCCGCTCTCCCATCAGTTTTTAAATCTCAGCCATTCACGCAAGGCTGCCTACTCGCTCAGCCACGGCCTGTCTTGGGAACAACGACCGAGCTCCAGACGCCAGGGGGGCGGTGGGGGGGATGAGGTCGGTCTAAAGGAGGGGGCTGCGGGGAGCCTCCTCCCTGCCCGCGCTGACCAGGAGCCACCGGAGGGGCGCCCCGCCCGTACGGGGGAGACGAACCCGAAGCCACGCGGCCCAGGAGCGGACTGACGCCGCAGAGACCCCACAGCCC